TTCTTTCATTGTTTACTTCCATTGCTCTATGTTTTAGTCGTTGATCAAGAGGCAGAGACAACTTTTTGCAGCAATCTTTATTGTCCATGACCTCATTTTGTCTGGCGATGGAAAACAAAACTGTTTTTGTGTTAGTTACTTAACATTTTGTCTTGAAGTTCCTATATAAAAATAAACGTGATATTTTCTATAATTTTATGTACACAAATTTACTTTTAATTTTGTTTTATTATTCTTATATCTTTAAACAAAGTTCTTAATCTAGTTACCCAGAACTTTGCGTCATAAAAATGACACAATCGGTCAGCCTATTAACTGTAACAAACATTCTTTTGAAACAGTATTTTGAAATTCCCCTAATTTCGATCCAGAAAACAAAACTGAAATTGCAGGATAAGTTATTGCTTGTTATAACTTGAAAATTATCTTGTAATTCAGCCCTAATAATTTCAGATGATCTTAGGGATTAATTTTGCGATCATGTTACTTAAAACAAATGACGTTCTAAAGCTCAATTTGCAGTCTAGTCCCCCAACAATTAAACTAAGACAAATTCGGGGGAAAATTTTAACTGTCAATAACTCTAAACCCAAACAAAGCGAAAACTGTCTGAAAACAAGAGTCGAGTTTCAATTCGATGTAAATCATTTGAGCCGCCATCTATCGATCAGTCTGTCAACTGAAATCAGATCTGGATTGCGTTCATTACGAGCTTGGAAACTTCTAGCTACGTGGTAGGACACACGGATATGCTCTTTGAGGAGCAAGATTTAAGGAGTATTATCACATATAAGCAATTTTGGTCTATCACTGACAGCCTATAATACGCGCATCTCCCATCATTATTCCAGCCACAGGACGTCCAATGCTGAACATGGGCCTTCCCCAATGACTTCCATATTGACCAGTTGATAGCGACCTGCATCCAGCGTCTTCCTGCTAACTTTATGAGGTCTTCCTTCAGTACACCTTGTGGGTGGACCTCCTTCGCTGCGTTTTCCGCGCGTCTCCTAACTGAAAACTATTTAGCAAAATTTTGGCAGGTTTTTTGATATTATTTTGTACCCAATTCTGGTATCAAGGCTTCTAATTTTCATTAGCTTCAATATTGTCATACATTCATAATATAGTCCACTCCGTAGCACACAGGCAACTCTAATCACATAAAAGTATGATGAAAATTATTTCTTCGTCTAAAGATTACTTACAAGATGAAGAGAAAATAAATAAATTGCTGTACGATCTTAACAGCTGTGTGTATCATCGCATTTTCAAGCACATTCCTTCAAAGTTTTGAGATTTGAATGGCGCAAGTTATGATTATCACATTAAGCCGGGTGTGACTGTACTTACCGACAGAAGTTCGCATAATCAAGCTCTGATTGTGACACTGTGGTCATGTTCATTTGCTAACTTCTGCGGTCTAATAATACCACGCATATGGCAAGAGTTCTTTGGAGATGATTAGTTAGTTTAAAATAGGGACTTTAAAATTTTGAATTAACCCTTTCTCTGATGTTTTCCTGTGCCCTTGCAAGGCGTCACATGTATAGTTGCATCTCTATTGTATTACCACTATAAAATAATGTGACATGCAATGAAGACTTTGACTTGTCCAAAATTACAAATCAGGAAGGTCTTCTTCCGATTCAATCTAACAAGGAAAAAGATTAGTTTTATCCCATTTTTTTTGTACTGCGCGTAATATAACTGACTATTATGTACTACTTTTACTATTAACTATGCTGTTACTTAACCAATAAAAACCATAATTAATTACTTTTATAATTTTACAAATTCTGCCTTATTTTCTACTTTTTAATCGGTTATTGTAAAAAAAAATGCTTAACCTACTACACGATTCATTTAAGCGTCATAAATAAACATAAAGTTTGCAAAGAACAAACTGCCCGATGAAGATGCAAGAAATGAAAATGCTGCAACTTGTCCCGACGCTCTCATATACGAGTATCCGACTAAGCTTTCGCAAAGCCCCGTTTCTTGGAACCCGTCGGTGTCTTTTAGCAAATTGCTCTATTTTACCTAGTGCATTGTGTCACAGTGTAGAATGTGCAGTAGAAAGAATGACATTACTCTGTTTGTAACTGGTCTGATAATTTGAATAAGTAGTTGCGATCTTACTAGCTAGAATAATCATCATCATTGACATTACAGACTACTCTATTTCAATCCCACTTTTTTCATAAGTTCCCTTTCTTGAAGTCGCGTCGGTCCGTTTAGCTAGGCGTATATTAGCCAAAATGTGCTCTCCTTCTGACAACTGTTTAGTAAACACATCGATTTGTCTAATAATTTACAATAACAATTACAATTCTGTGTAATTAATGTAAGTTGTAACAGGCTCTATGTTGCAATTTTTTTTTATTCATAAATAGGTAATGTTAACTTTATAGGCCGCAACATTTTTTTGAACCTCAAACGAGATTAATTTCCTCTTCATCAGTTTTAAACTATAAATATAAAAGCAAATTAGCTGCACTTCTCTACTCTGTGGTCCTACGCACCTGCACTTTGTAGTTCTTAGATGATGAAAGCGTTTTTACGACAGTAATAGTCTGCATTCCAATGAGATCAGTATCTTCTGTGTACTCGTTTATGTAACACATATATGATACAAAGCATTTTTGGTTTATTAGAATTAAGCTCAAAGCACAATTCAATATTTAGGATTTTACTTTTTTTATTTAGACCTATCACAGGAACGACTCTCTGACTGAAATTGAGACGAGTTTTAATTATTTAATTTAGATCTCAAAAACTTGAATGTAGAGGCGACAATAGCCCAATTGTGTCGATATCGTACCAACTTTGGATGTACCGAGGGTTGGTAGTTCGGTTCGAACCCATCCGCCGCTGGACTAATAGTGCTGAAGTAACTACAAGCTGTGCTACAAGCAACAAACAGAAGCAAATATTCAGATCAGCTAAAGCGGTTACCGGTACTGTTAAAATTAATTTATGCAATAAAAACTAAAAAACTCATTTATTTTTGCAAATAGGCTTTTAAAAAGCACTTTTGCACGTCCCAGTATTAACCCTGCGTCGGGACAATAAATGGGCCAGTGCTGAGAAGAAGAAGCGCAAGAAAATCAGTCACTATTACAGATAAAATACAGAATACAGATTACTTAATATTTACTAGAAAAACGTAACCAGTATTTTAGTCCGAATATTCCATGATTATGATCACAAAACCCAAAATTATCAAATAAAACTCAAATCAAGAATACAAATCATCCATCATATCGTTATACAAAATATAGGAAGGTATAGGTAAAATAGTCCTTAATGTATTAATCATTCCTTTGACACCTTTTGATCGCCAACAAAGAGTGGTTCAGATGATTTGAGCCCGCTTAAGGCGATCGACAGTCAATTAAGTTCTGATAAGACAGGTAACGGAAAAAGCATAGAAGAATAGAATCAGGTTTCGGGCAGAATAAGGGTACAAAGGGTGCCCGGATGTCAAATAAAAACCGTCAATTGGCACGGACACTGCCAAGGGGCATTTGGCATGGTGTTAGGTAGAAAGAAAATCTGAAAAAGGTGGTATTGTTCACTTAATTATTTGTAGAAATAAAAAGTAGACGTAATCTAAATATTTTTTACCATTTTATCTTGATCTAAACAAGTTAACTAAATGTTTACTTCAGAATGTAAATGGAGGAGAATGCCGAAAGACATAAAGTCCGCCTTATGTACCGTTCTAATATTATGTGCATGTAAATTTAAAATAAATAGGAATTAATTTTTCCATTCGTTAAAAAATTGGCTCATTATACATGTGAGTCCAAATTCTTCATCAATCAATTTGTATTTATTTTGGTAGTTTTTACTTACCTTTTATATGAAGACTACTTCTAAGCTATTAACTTTACCCAGGCTAAAGCTTAAACTCCAATGAGAGTTCACCAACTGAGATTTCCCATTCCAATTTGGTTTCCTAAGTGCTTACATTTAATTTTGATATTTTAACTTCACGATGGGTTGCAATGAAAAAACCCTTCAGTTTAAAAGTTAAAAAAACGCGTTTAATATATAAAGCAGAAAAAAAACAAAAACAATGCTATTAATTAAATGTTGTAATTTTATTATGTGCTATTAAAATTTTAGATGTGTTGTCGACTGAAAAATTAACAAAAATATTTTAGTATGTTGTTGACTGAAAATATGATCAAAAATAAGACAAAAAGCAATCAACTTTGTTAGTTACTGACTCTTTTATTTTTAATAGTTTTTTTTAAACCTAGTAATGGACGTTTTATAATTTATAACTGCTACCTGACGACTGATCTGAGGAGGTAAGGTATTGTTTACTGTGCTATTTGCTCTATAATCAGTAGACTGTATTATTTGCAGTAAGCAAAACTTTATTTTTAATGTACCTAAGTACCTACCCATAAATATTTTCGACAAAATCTTGCTCTGACAAATTTCCACTTTATAGTTTTTATTGCATAAAGTAGGCCATGAAAAGCCGTTCTATTCTCATTGCATAGAGTCGGCTATGATTTTATAGCGGCCATAAAAATATTATTTGCTAAGACACATTTATTGTCAGGTCACTTTACTTTTATTTCAGCATGGAATTTAGGAAAAAAATCTCTAACTTCTAACGCCATCTGTGTTCAGTTTTCCAAACTATGTGTTCTGGGTTTGCGGGAAATGATGAAACTGAATAAGTTTGAGGAATATGATTTAGTTTCAAATATTACTTGTAGATGTCGCTTTCAAATATTTTTTATAGCCTTTGTCGCGACTTTGTTCTGTAGATTTCTGTACAGAGTACCTAAATAAATAATTATAATCTACCTTATGTGCTCATAATTCTATAATTCTGATCTAATAACATTAATATAATACAACGTTTGTCCATGTATAGTTGTAAAAAATATTCGATGTTAGCTCTACCTTTTTTTGCTCGGGTGCAATAATTACTAACATTTTAGTAACATTTATCGTATCAGAAAATCATTTAATTAAAACGCAAGTTTAAGGTCAGATTTATCTTCATTTTCTAGAAAATACATCCAACAAGAATTTCTTATATTCGTCTTCTTTGTATGAATACACGATCCTTGCGTTTGCATCTGCCTTGTCCACAAAAGTGTTTGTCGTCAATCCTCTTTTTTGACCTGAAACAAAAATGTTTTTGTTGTTATCATTGCCAAAAACTTTTCTAAGGGCCCTCGCCCACGGCAACTTTTTTAGCGATGCAGTCGCTCTGCTGTAGCGCGTTAGTAGCGCGTTGGCATCACTTCTGTAGTGCGTTGCAAATGCGACTAACGCGCGTTAGTAGCGATGCTGTCGCCGAAAAAGTCGCCGTGGGCGAGCGAGGGCCCTAAAATTAAAAAAAAATTATCGAAGTCACTTCTTTAGAAAATTATTCTAAAGAAGTACATAAATTAATTAATGTAAATCTTATCGATTATTTAGATTTTAGATGAAATGCACGGGCATATTATCTTCTGAAGTTGATAAAATCCACGTAATTATATCGTAATGATTATGCGAGTAGGTGGGTGTGACTCTAGGTAGGTGACAGAAACGCCAACTATTATGGTTGCGGGTTCCAATTCCGCCGGGGTCAATATATGCTATTCAATTTAAAATATCTAAGTTTATCATCCCAATTACCTAGACATAAGTGGGTAATTGGTGGAACAGTTTATTCAATTTAATACCCAACGACAGAAGCATGCGCCATGCAGCAAGTATGTACGTACCACTCTACAAAGCAGTTAAATCCATACTAAATAATTTGCGATACTGGATGCGTTCTGCGGTCTGCGTTCAGGTCAAATTGACCGCATCGTATGAACGACATTGTCGGTCTCTATACATTTCGTATTGATGCGATCTGACTGCCACAAGCAAAGAACGCAAACTGACAGGTACGCGCTGTCTTAACTTTGACCTGATCAAAGAACGTGGGACGTCCACCCACAAGATGGACCGACGACCTGATAAAGGTAGCAGGAAGGCGCTGGATGCAGGCCGCTATCAACCATGCGATGTGGAAGTCATTGGGGGAGGCTTATGTTCAGCAGTGGACGTCCTGTGGCTGAAATGATGATGATGATCAAAGATCGCATCCAGTGCGACAAATGCTTTAAGGTGTAATAAAATTGTAGCCTCTACTCGTATATAAATAATGCTACTTACCACATAAATGTATATCATGCTTGGAATACTGATATTCGCTGACTAGACTCGGTTTGACCACCACAGCCACAGCTGCAGGGTCTAAAGCATGCCATCTGTCACTCTTTGGTAGCGACACCCTTTCGAATTGGTTCATAGCCCTGATGATGTCCGTGTCAATTGCTCCAAAGACTTCTTCTCTCCATGCCTAAAAAATATTTTAAATCTTCAAAAACTCTTAAGGAGACATCAATCGAAATGACTGTGAAGAGAAGTTTACACAAAATATCATCTCTTTTCCGAGTTGATAAGTCTGCTATGACCTTTAGTAGACCAAAACATAAAGTATTAGAAGAACAGTGCAGCTATAAAAGGTGTTTGAAGGCAGATCTACTGACGACAGCACAATAAGCTAATCACTGCGATACCTATCTTATGAAATATTCTGCCGTGCTAACAATATCAGCAACAACTCAATTTTTTAGTCAAACTATAATGAACTCTATTTCAGATGAGCTGACAGGAGCTTTTTTAACAGCAAAATATTGGAGTTACTGCTGATATCACTAGCACGGCAGTATTGTCTGCTCTGCTATCGTTCGTTCGTTCGTTCGTTTCAGCCGAAAGACGTCCACTGCTGGACAAAGGCCTCCCCCAAAGATTTCCACAAAGACCGGTCCTGCGCCGCTTGCATCCAGGTACTTCCCGCGACCTTCACCAGATCGTCGGTCCACCTAATGGGAGGCCTGCCCACGCTACGTCTTCCAGCTCGTGGTCGCCACTCAAGAACTTTCCTGCCCCAGCGGCCATCAGCTCTTCGAGCTATGTGCCCCGCCCACTGCCACTTGATTTTAGCGATTCTGCGGGCTATGTCAGTCACTCTGGTTCTCCTACGGATCTCCTCATTTCTGATTCGATCACGCAGAGAAACTCCGAGCATAGCACGCTCCATCGCTCTTTGGGTGACCTTGAGCCTTCTTATGAGGCCCATCTGCTATCGACTATAACTAAATAAAGAAATATCCATACCCTGGTAATATTCAAATGCGTCATAACTTGAGAGAAGGGCAAGAAAGTGACTTTATCGGGATTCGCATTCTTGGCTACTATGTGATAAGCTTCCACGTCCATGTGTGCATTGAACTCCGCATCTGGGTTTTCATCATCTGCAAAGTATCGAAAAAGGTTTTAAGTTACTGGTAATAATTTTACAATCGATTAAAATAATTCTTTGATTTCGTGATTCTGTGGGCATATCCATGATTGGGCCAAACCTATAGCGGCTTCTAAAGTCTGACAAATTTAAAGGGGTAAATTGAGGATAATGACTACGGTTGTCAAAACTACTAAACTATAGGTGCCATAATAGGAAGAAAATCTAGAAGCTATGTACTCGTAGCATGGTGACTTAGAAGAAAAGATTTGCTTCTTACCATGAATGTGACCTGCAGCCACGTACAAATGGTCCAATCGATCTAGAAATTCAGGGTCTGTTTTTATAGCTAACGCTACATTCGTTAGTGTCCCGATAGTGAGTACAGTCAAGTCACCTGTAACAGTAAATTTTCTTACATTAACACTGTAAATGTGTAATATTATAACTATTTCAGTTTTCTTATCTTCTTCTTCTTATCGTGTCGACAAAAACCTACACAGGATCAGCCCAAAACTCCGCTACAAGAGTGGCGTTGTCAGGAGCATTAATTAAATCCTTTCTTATAAGAACCTGTGACTTACCTTTATAAGTTTTAGACAGATCTAAAAGTGCTGTTACAGCATTCTTCTCCTGTGCTGGCACCAGGTCATCAAAGTTGAGACCTGAATCTCCGAGACCATCATTTCCAAACCACGCGCCAGCATCTGGGGTCGTCACCAGTGAGGATTTAGACCCTCTGAAGATTGGTATCTGGAATACAGATCCTTATTACTAAAGGACGATTATTGATAAAACTCTTGATTTATTTTCATTTTTTCTCCTCTTGCATCTCCGTCAGCAGGGGTACGCCGTGACAACAGAGGGCTCCCGCTGAAAATCAGTTTCAAGACAAGCCCTGGAGGTCTTGATGTACGCTGAGAATATAATTGTCCACTTGTTTATTTCTCTCTGTTTTAATCTATGTCTTACCTGCTTGTATCCTACCTTTCTTGCAAATAAAAAGTTTTCTATTCTATTCTATTCTATTTAATTATACGTTCCTATATTCTGCCTCCAAGTACTTCCAGCAAACTTCACCAGAACATTAGAATACCTGGATGCGGGCAGCGTAGGATCAGTCGCTGTGGAAATCCTTGGAGGAGGTGGAAATCTTTGTCCCACTCCTGGACAAATTGGCGGCATTTGGCTGAAATGAACGAATGGATCTTCTGCCTACCATTCATGTGGTACTTAAATATTACCATGCTTGTTTATTAATAATTAGTAAATATTACCATTGTTTGTTTATTAGTTGCAGAACTGACGGCCGATGGGGCAGCAAGATTATGGAATGGAGGCCGCGTACCGGAAGGCACAGCGTGGGACGTCCACCTACAAGGTGGACCGACGACATCGTAAAGGTAGCAGGGAAGCGCTGGATGCAGGCCGCTACCAATCGATCAACGTGGAAAGCATTAGGGGAGGCCAATGTTCAGCAGTGGACGTCCTATGGCTGACATGATGATGATGATGATGTTTATTAATGCAGTACCAAACCAAGCTAATATAAAGTTACTTGCATCTTGTCTGTTAGCTATTCTAAGTATTCTTTGGTTATTGAAATATACGTTGTGTTCTGGTGTATTCCCGTTTGCAGTTGTTAGTCCCACCAGCTTTGGCCTGGAATCATGTTTGACAGTTAGCTCTAGGATGAAGGGAAATGAACCTTAAAGTGTTCAGTTATTTGGACTGAAATTGCCATATCAGTCTCTTATGAAATGCTGATTGTATAAAAATAAAGTGCCTTTATTTCTTATCTTTTTGAGTTATAAATACAGTTATTTCTTTCAGATAAATTACTTACAGCCTTGACCTTACAGACAGAGTTGATTAAACTTTTATATCATGTTGTAGGTATTTTGATAAGTTGTAGAATTTCAAAATAACGAATGAAATGTATTTACAGTGATAAAAAAAATACCATTTGCATAAACATTTTCAAAGAATACTCTTCTCAAGGTCTTTTCAAGGATTTCTTAAAAAGAAAGTTGACTCTATTGGTAATCAAACTTGGGACTTACCCGTCGAAGTGTTTCTCATATAACAAGGTGAGGAATATAGCCATTGCGTCATCACCCCCTGCGTCATTGTCAATGACTAATTTACTTTTCTTTACTTCAGAACTGAAAATCAACAATAAAAAGTAATACAGTATACAACACAACTGACTAAACTTTGTTGTTGCAAAATAACACCTATTACTAACTATATAAGATGCTACAGTATTTAACTTGATGTACTGTCATCTGTTCTTACTTGAAAGGATCTAGCTTGTTAACCAACTTCGATAAAAGGAGGAGGTTCTAAATTCGGTCGGTACCTAGGTATATATTTTTTTGGTAATAACCCAATGTAGAGAAATATTTTTTTTTACTTCCTTTACTTGTACCTACTCTTCAGTCTTTCGGGACATTAAAGTAATAATATATCAGTTACTTGCTTGAATTTTTTTATCATTTTCATTCTTACGGAATATTCAATAAAAATTTAAATTTAAACAATATTATTAGAAATAAGAATGAGATTTTTAGATTATTATTTATCTAATGTAGGAATTAACCAATATTTTTTTAAATTCGTTTCATTAATGTTGTTTTTGAGGAATTACACATGGTTACCTACAAATTATAATTAGGAAACGTAACTTGTTAATTTTGTTATTTAAAATTGCCAGAAAAAAATTAAAACCATGACTTACAAATCAGCCGTAGTAACACACAAACAAACAAATATTATTACTCTCAGCATATTACAAATTTACACACGCGTGTTTTGTTACGTATCTCAAGATAAACTACACTGTATCAGTAATATCTGCCCAGCAATTGCCCCGTGATTTGTGAACTTGACAGTTGTATAACCAAACGAGAACAAACACCCCATAAAAATAAGAACTCAGAAAAACCAACACAATCTGCCTACAAGGAGGGATAGCGGGAGCTTACGTTATAACTGCATATTTGGAGGTTGGAGGTGTTGATGAATGATGAAGGTGCTCGATGAATAATACAAAATATATGCATCATCATCATCATTTTAGCCACAGGACGTCCACTGCTATATATAGGCTTCCCCCAATAATTTCCATATCGCTTGATTAGTAGCGGCCTGCATCCAGCGCCTTCCTATGATCATGAGGTAGTCGGTCCACTTTGTGAGTGGATGTCCCAGGCTGCGTTTTCAAGTAACTGGCCTTCACTCCTAAACCTTGCCGTCCCATCGGCCGTCAGATCTGTGTACTATGTGCCCTGCTCATAGCCACTTCAGCTATCTTATCCGTCAGGCTATTTGTGTAAGATATCTTCCACAAATTGTAGCGGCCACTAGCGATTTAACGTCTATAAAATGAATGTGCTGGCTGTTCTCAATAAGAACATAAAAATGTTGATAAAAAATGTAACGTTATCATATTTTTTTCTTAACTTATCATAATCGTAAGAGATTGAGTGACTATTGCACAGTCATGCCGACCAAAGGGGTGTAAGCCTAATCGTGTAGTGTTTGATACATTGTTTTTTTTAAATTATTCATTGGTAATTTATTTTTAAAAAGGTAAAAGCACAGAAAATAAATCAGTACTACCTAGGTACTCTAACCCTATCACTACTTCGGAACAATAAATGGAACATAATATTTGAAAAGAAGCAGCAAGAAACTTAGTCGAGCCCGACAAGCGAAAGGTCGTGGGTTCGATTCCCGCCTTAGTCAGTTCGATTTTTTAAAGTTATTTACAAAAAACTTATGCCCGTTTTCACCACCAAAAAACGTCTAATTTGAAAGAGCTCTTACACTTGTCAATTCCGATCGATCAGAGTATTAGACCGATAACTGTTATAAATATCACTCTAGTTTGATATGCACAAGTAATTAAATAATATACATTACAACATAGTCATTGTTGATGTAGAGACAACAAAACATGCAGATAAAAATAAAAATACTTACTTTGTCGCAGCATCCATTGGAGTTAAGAATAATAGATGTTTTTCACTTCAAACAAAATGTTTTTACAAAACATTCACTTACACACTGTTTCTAACATAAATCTCAATTCATAAAATGTCTCTATAATTTCGTATTTCTAACATTTCTGACAAATAACCTCAAAATGAAGAGTGCAATGACTCAACAACAGCCCGTGTTATTTGTGAATTATCAGCTGTTAAACTGTTAGATCTTATCTCTTTGTAACAAAGCTCAATTCGTGTCTAAAATTTGCATTCATATAGGTCTCTGTTTAACTGGTGAACAATACTGTTTACGTTTGACATAGTATCCTTGTCCTTTTCTTACATAATGCGTTAGAAAGAGACAGATCTCGCCTTGATAATGGCATTGTGTGTGTATAAATGTAGCAGTCACGTGCTATTTAGTTCGTGTTAGAAAAACTAAAAGTAGAGATAAAATAATAAAAGTTGAGGTAGTTGCAGATGGTTGCAGAATGTAAACAATAATAATGAAAATGTATAGTTTGCATGTTTGTGGTATTTATGTTTGTTTAGGGTAAAAAATAAGTTTTTATTTTGTTTAATGATATTTTATTTTACTTTCGTCTAAATAGGTCAAGTAAAAATTGTTGATATTCGGCGTCTTTCATTGAATAAATCATTCTAACGTTTGCATGTTCTTTGTCCACAATCTTGTTAGTATTTAAGCCTCTTTTATCTCCTGAAAAAAACAAAAAGAAACAGTAAAATTAATTATTTTCTTCCTGGTAGATACCTCTTCCTCTAGACCGCTGCAACTCTTGCATAGCCAGGCCGGCAGGCATATTGGCGGTCAAGCTGTAGACCGCCAATAAATACCCAACCAGTGAAAGTCAAGTTTGTCCCGGAGAAAAGTTGAACTGTATACTCACCACAAAGTATGATATCGTTCTGGGAGTACTTATACTCATTAACCAGTTCTGTCTTGATGGCAGCAGCGACAGCCGACGGGTCCAGCGATTGCCACCTGCTTCCAGGTCTCCGAAGAGACACCTGTTCGTACTTGTTCATAGCTCTAACGACCTCACTGTCAATAGCACCTAGAGTTTCCTGTCTCCAAGTCTGAAATAGAATATTTAAATTACTTTTGTCGTGTGGATCTCTATTTGTCACAGAATACAAAATAATATTATCTAATAATAAAAAACTCTTATCACAGGGTATGAAAAATATTTTACGTGCTATGCTTAGGCCTACTATACACACACATTTTCGAAGAATTGGTCAAGCCGTTTCAGAGGACTTTTGTTACAAACACTGTGACACAAGAATACAGATTATTTCCCTCTAAATACCTCTACCGTAATATAAGCCATTGGTAGTCTACTGCAGTACTTTCTTCTTTTTGAAGTCTCATTAGTGTCTTATTATGGAAAATTTTTGAGTGATAAGATCAGGTCATGAGACTTACTCTTGTGTAATTCAGAAAGATCTGAGTCTGCGAAAAAGGCACGACAGTAACTTTGTCCGGAGTTGCATTCTTTACAACGATATGGTATGCTTCTACATCCATTAAAGCGTTGAATTCTGGTTGTGGGTGCATATCACCTGCAAAACATTAAACAATGTTTATTTCAATAATGTCACCTCCACAATAAGGCTCAAAACAGAAATTGGATGATTTTTTTTTAATTTCATTTTAATATAAGGGAAGATATTTAAGGCGTTCCACTCCACTCCCGCTCATCTTTCGGTTTCCAACATGGCGGAACAGAGCGGAGCGGAGCAGAGAAGTGTCTTGAATAACCAATCAGATTTCATTATTTTCACTATTTCGGAGAGGAGAACCTGTCCGCTCCGCATAGATCCGCGGCGCCACCGCAGTTAAATTCTATAGAAACATTTTACGGCCCTACACTTCTCCGCTCTTGTGGAAACTGGGCTTTACTTTATCCACTCTACTCTTGCCCTACTCGCCTTCTTACCCTACTCTCGCCACTATTTTCCGACTCTCCCATTTTTAAACTTCTGCATTCACTTTACATTCATCTCTTTAATTTACCTCTTGTCATGTTAACTTACTGTGAATATGTCCAGCTGCAACATATAGTTGGGATAGTCGATTCAAAAATTGAGGATCAATTTTTATTGCCAAAGCAATATTAGTTAACGTCCCAATAGTAACTATGAGGAGACGACCTGAAATAATCACAAAAAATAATACATTATTATGTTTCATTAAAAGCAGAAATGGTAGAACCAATCCATGGTATCCATTTTAGTGCGCTTCGGTTTACACATTTTTCTTAAAAAGATTTTTAGCAATTTGTATTGCGCAAATTACTAATAGTCCCATTAGCCCCTCGTGTTAAGCTAAATAAGCTTGTGTTACGAGTGGGCTCACCACAATAGTCAAGCGGGATATAATAGATAGCGGCAGTGGGATTCGAACTCGCGTTCCTCGGATCTCGAGTCGGCCACTCCGACCACTTCAGCGTTCGGCTATAAACTCAGGCCAATACTAATGTGTATTGGCCTGAGGAACAAAATGCACTATGGGTTGATTCTGGGCAGCACTTGGTCTAAACCCTGGCACTATCCTTTCCATGATCTGAAAATGTATTTCACGTAGATTTACGTTACGGCTTCCAATAGGCGGATTTCTTTTTTTTTGTAGGAAGGGAAAATACATAGCTTGACCATGCTTTTTGTTCATTTAACCGTTATTTATACTATGAAAATAACAAAGTATCAATAACTCGGTTTTTTGTTACAAACTGAATTTCTCGCAGACGAATTCATGGTAAATTATGTTTTACAAAATTGTTTATTTACCCTAACAAACATTATCTGGGTTATTGTTCATTATACCTTCATGCATCTTAGACAGTTCTATGAGGCGCATGATAGCATTTTCTTCCTGGACTGGTCCCAAATCTGTGACGTTCTCTCCCGTGTCCCCAAGACCATCTACTCCATAGTACGCGTTAGTGGCGGGTGTGTGGACTAACGAGGATCTAGCACCTCTGTAGATTGGAATCTGAGGAGTAATCAGGATTTGTATTTAAATCTTATAAGCTAGTATGCAGCATTTAAAGTGCGATCCTACTGATCGCCATCGCCAACGCGCACGCAGGCAGCACGCATCAGATTAGCCGAATCTTTAGAATCCTCATTGCTCCAAAATAAATCTGTCAGGCACCATAACTGGACAAAACATCAATTTAGTTGCAAAAATTACATGTTGTTGTTCTGAGTGATAGCATTTCAGTAATCACTACACTACTGTAGGAAGATTTCATCAAATGNTTGCAGAATGTAAACAATAATAATGAAAATGTATGGTTTGCATGTTTGTGGTATTTATGTTTGTTTAGGGTACAAAATAAGTTTTTTTTTTGTTTAATGACATTTTATTTTACTTTCGTCTAAATAGGTCAAGTAAAAATTGTTGATATTCGGCGTCTTTCATTGAATAAATCATTCTAACGTTTGCATGTTCTTTGTCCACAATCTTGTTAGTATTTAAGCCTCTTTTATCTCCTGAAAAAACAAAAAGAAACAGTAAAATTAATTATTTTCTTCCTGGTAGATACCTCTTCCTCTAGAGCGCTGCAACTCCTGTATAGCCAGGCTCTACAGCTTGACCGCCAATAAATACCCAACCAGTGAAAGTCAAGTTTGTCCCGGGGGACAACTAAACTGTATACTGACCGCAAAGTATGATATCGTTCTGGGAGTACTTATACTCATCAACCAGTTCTGTCTTGATGGCAGCAGCGACAGCCGACGGGTCCAGCGATTGCCATCTGCTTCCAGGTCTTCGAAGAGACACCTGTTCGTACTTGTTCATAGCTCTAACGACCTCACTGTCAATAGCACCTAGGGTTTCTTGTCTCCAAGTCTGAAATAGAATATTTAATTTACTTTTGTCGTGTGGATCTCTATTTGTCACAGAATACAAAATAATATTATCTAATAATAAAAAACTCTTATCACAGGGTATGAAAAATATTTTACGTGCTATGCTTAGGCCACACATACATTTTCAAAGAATTGGTCAAGCTGTTTCGGAGGACTTTTGTTACAAACACTGTGACACAAGAATACAGATTATTTCCCTCTGAATACCTCTATCGTAATATAAGCCATTGGTAGTCTACTGCAGTACTTTCTTCTTTCTGAAGTCTCATTAGTGTCTTATTATGGAAAATTTTTGAGTGATAAGATCAGGTCATGAGACTTCTTTTTTCAGCCAAATGACGTCCACTGCTGGACAAAGGCCTCCCCCAAGGTTTTCCACAATGAACGGTCCTGCGCTGCCCGCATCCAGGCTCTTCTCGCGACCTTTACCAGATCGTCGGTCCACCTAGTAGGAGGCCTGCCCACGCTACGTCTTCCAGCCCGTGAGACTTACTCTTGTGTAATTCAGAAAGATCTGAGTCTGCGAAAAAGGCACGACAGTAACTTTGTCCGGAGTTGCATTCTTTACAACGATATGGTATGCTTCTACATCCATTAAAGCGTTGAATTCTGGTTGTGGGTGGATATCACCTGCAAAAAGGAATTTCAACAATTAATTATTAATTTAATAACTGAATAAGGAACGCCCAAAACAGAATTATTTTTTCAAGCAAGAGCTGAAAATCAGTGTTCAGCTCATTTTAAAGCAGTGTCTACACTGAGGTCTCTGCTTTTTTGCATCGCTACCTACGGCACTTATACCTTAGCGCAGGATTTTCTTTTTTACTCTTTGTAATGTGCTCTATCTTTCCTGCTACTCCTGTGTTTATTAATCTTACTTTTTGCTTCTTGTGTGTCAATGTGTTTTGCAAATCTATCTATCATCTATCTATCTAATTAGGGAACTATTTTGTGTATTTTTTATTAGAACAATAGGTAAGTAGATGTCCGCTTCAATTTCGGTCTATTACAGATAGTAGTTATCACGTGCTGCCACTCTCGCTCCTCCAGTTCCCCCCACTTTCTCCAATCATCCTATTTTTCCTCATTTCTCCCCCCTCTCCACTCTTTCTTACACCTCACCTCCGCCTCCAACTCTTCAATTTAACTTACTGTGAATATGTCCTGCTGCAATATAGAGTTGGGACAGTCGATTCAAAAATTGAGCATCAATTTTGATTGCCAAAGCAATATTAGTTAACGTCCCAATAGTAACTATGATGAGACGACCTGAAATAAAGAGAAACAATATTAATACTATTATTATGTTAGTTTAAGCACAAATTTTCCATGATCTGAAAAAATATTTCACGTAGATTTACGTTACAGTTTCCAATAGGCGGATTTCTCTTTTTTTTTTGTAGGAAGGGAAAATACATACATTGATCATGCATTCCGTTCATTCAACCATTTATTTACTATGAAAATCACAACTATGAAATAACTCGGTTTTTCTGTGACAAACGGATTATCTCGCGGACAAA